AGAAGAATGTTCAGCTGCTCCCAGCAGTAAATAAGGATAAAACGTAACTCCTAACCCCAGCCGCAGGCAGCCAACAACCCATCTGCTTACAGAAGAAAACTATAAACTAAAATAAGAAAATGCTCACAGCTTTTCTGTCACTACCTGATACCCTAGGTGGGCTGCTGAGAATTCACTGCGGGAAGTTTTCGGCTCACCTTCTGAAATGTTCTCTCTTGTGTCTCCTGACACCTCTGGATTTGCTGAGGATCTGTGCTAGTCACCAAGGAGCCTCTGGACGACTGAGGTCACAAATAAGAGAGTTTTCAACAAATTTGAAGGTGTGGGAGAAAGCCCCAGGAAAGAGGGCGGATGGGCCCAGAGCCGCATAGGGGGTGTTTCACAGCTCAGGGGCTGACCTGACTCTCATGCTGGCTTCGCTGCTGATGGTTGGAGAAACGTGGCGTCTTCCTGAAGTCCTTCCTGGGTTTCACTTAAGGTTCTCAGCTCCGAAGTCTCAGGGCAAAAGCTTAAGAAAACACGGGCATTTTAGTAATTCTTTTGTTTGAAAAACTATTGAAAGAATGGGTTACTTGATCCCTAGAAAAGTGAAGAGCAAGAAGACTTTCTCTCCTGCCTCCCCGCCCCTTGTTTCCTCTACTCCTCCCATCAGTGATAATAAAAAGGAAAGTAGGGACCAGCAGTTAGCGTAATGGCTATTTTGCTAGACTCCCACATAGCCAACCGCAGTTCGAGTCCCAGACCTAGTGGCTTAAACTGACTCAGCGTGTATGCGTGCGTGCCCAAGATCCCGAGAGGAGAATGGAGAAGGAATTGTGGCGTGGCCATCCCCCCTGGGGGGGGGTGATCTCTCGCTTTCTGTCTCTCTGTCTCTCTCTGTCTTTCTGGCGAGCACATGCACCCTATAGCAAAAACCTCTCGAATAATTAAATAATAAAGAGGAAAGTAGAATGTGGCAATGGGATGAAAACAGAATTTATCAGTGCTCTCTCTCCCTCAATAAATATGTATTTCCTGAGCTTCTGGAATCGCAGGCCCTGCACCTGTTGCTGGGAGACAGGTTGGCTGTGGTACCGTCCCTGAAGGAGCTGAGGGTTTTGCTAGCCTGGGGTGAGTTACCCTTGCTTGGTAGTGGGGGGGAGAGGGGAGTCTGGAAGGGCCTGGTACCCTTGGCACGCTGTCCGCTGGAAGGAAGGGCATTCCAGAGAAAGGGAGAGACAGGAGTCTGGACTGTGAAGGGAGCTGTGAGTCGGGCGGAGGTGGTGGAAAGCCTTCGCTGCCATTGTAAGGACTTTGGAGGGACCAGCAGTTAGTGTAATGGCTATGTCGCTGGACTCCTGTGTAGTCGACCGCAGTTCGAGTCCCGGACCTGGTGGCTTAAACTCAACGCCGGGCCTGTGTGCGTGCGTGCCCAAGATCCCGAGAGGATAATAGAGGAGAAGGGATTGCGGCATGGCCGGGGGGGGGGAGGGGGGGAAGAGGACTTTGGACTTTGTCCTGTCCACAGTGGAAGCCATAGGAGGACGTCAGAGCCGAGAGAGGTGATTTGTGGTCTATGGGCATTTTATAAAGACAAAGCTCTGTCGGAGGTAAAGAGAGGAGGCCAGACACAGCAGGGAGGTGCGGCATTTGTCTTTTTTCAAAAGAGGTTGTTTTTTGCCTTAGGCCATATGCACTCGCCTGAAGGAGAGACAGAACACAGTAAGGGGAAAGCGAGAAATCACCCCCCAAAGGGGTTGGCCATGCTGCAGTCCCGTCTCCATTCTCCTCTCAGGATTTTGGCCACTCATGCACACGCAGCCGGTGTGATTTTGAAACTACTGGGACCAGGACGCGAACCGCAGTTGGCCATGTCGGAGTCCCATGATGCAACTGCTGTGCCCTCTGCTGGCCCCCAGCACAGAATTTAATTCTGGTTTCGATTTCACTCCTTAGTGGACACGTATTCTTTCTCTCTTTTTTCTTTTTTGAGAGAGATTTTTGCTATAGGGTGTGCATGCTTGCCAGACAGAGAGACAGAAAGGGAGAAATCACCCCCTGAGAGATGCCCACACCATGGTCTCTTCTCCTCCAGTCTCCTCTTGAGATTTTGGGCATGCACGCACACATATCCAGCATGAGTTTCAAACCGCTGGATCCAGGACTTGAACCACATTCAACTACATGGGAGTCCAGCAAAGTAACCCTTATGGCACCTTCTGGTCCTGTGGCCATGTATTTCTGAGCAAAATGTTTAAACACACCCTCCTTTCACTCGTCTGCAGACGGTCTACAACTCAGGTGTAGTGAGTGTTGCGTGTTGCCTATGTGTGTGTAACCCTTAGGGCTGTGCCCTGGTGCATGCTGAATGGAATTTGATTTGCATTAGCTCACTAGGCTTCATTTGTTCATCTAATCTAGACAAATTTGCTTTTTTAAGTTTTGTTATCTTTTCCATGAGAGAGAAAGGGAAGGAGAGTAATGGGCACCTCAGACAATATCCCCATGCCATAATCCACCCTAGCTGCACCAGCTACGGTCCAGATCGTGGTAGACCTCAGGACATGAACCAGGGACCTTCCCATGTAGGCCCAACAGCACAGAATGTTATGTTCCCACTGCTCCACCCTCTGGCCCTTTTTTTCTTAAGTTGTTTTAGGCCAAAAAATTTCTAGCAGGAGGTGGAGTTGCAGTAGCTCAGGCAGGAGACGTGCTGGAAGAGGAAGACTCCAGGCTCCTGCCCTAGGTCTTCCCAAACTCACCAGCCATGCCACGATCCTGGCAGCCATAGGGCTGGCGGAATGATTACGATCGAGGGTGTGTGTGTTATGTGTCCTCCTCTCTTCACTCTCATGTGGAGGAAATAAAATTTAAAACAAACAAACAGACATATTCCAGCAGGAAATAGGAGGGTGAGGCTTGTAAATTAGAACAGCTACTTTCCCTCCATATGAAGTGTGACCAGAAAACTTTGCTAAGAATACCGCTGTCTGCGGGTCCTTTATGTCACTGTGTGTAATGGGGGTCAAGGGAACCGTTGAGCGAAGTTTCATATTGGAGCAGGGGGACCGTCTTTACAGCACAACATACCTCCTTTATTTTGATAAACACATCCTGAAATTCCAGAACATAGTGTGAACCGCATTTGAATACATGTACGCACACACCTTCAAAAACCCCTACTACAAAAATCTAATTGTGTGTGCCTCTGCTTCCCTCCTTGTGAAATGATGCTACCATGTCCTTAAATTGAAACAATAAATTGATTCACTTGTCTCCCATGAAGAAGATAAAACATGTTATATATGTGCATGCTATTTTTACTGTAGGTATATCTTATTATACAAATATATATTTGTATGTATCATATAAATAACTACAGGCTAGTATTCTAAACAAAAATCTAATAGGACAGGAAATGTTCCTTCTATTTCCTGGTGTGGATCCAGTGTTGTGTTTTTATACAATGTTAATGCTCTTGTGGAACAGGAAGTTGGGGGACCAGCAGTTAGCATAATGGCTATGTCACTGGACTCCCATGTAGTCGACCGCGGTTCGCGTCCTGGACCCGGTGACTTAAAACTCATGCCGGGCACATGTGCGTGCATGCCCAAGATCCCGAGAGGAGAATGGAGAAGGGATTGTGGCATGGCCATCCCGCTTAGGGAATGATTTCTCGCTTTGGGACCAGCAGTTGGTGTAATGGCTATGTCGCGCTGGACTCCCACATCATCGACCACAGTTCAAGTCCTGAACCTGGTGGCTTAAAACTCACACTGGGCGCATGTGCGTGCGTGCCTAAGATCCCTAGAGGAGAATGGAGGAGAAGGAATTGCGGCGTGGCCATCCCCCCTGGGGGGGTGATTTCTCGCTTTCTATCTCTCTGTCTATCTGGTGAGCATATGTGCCCTATAGCAAAAACCTCTCCAAAAAAAAGAAGAAAAGAAAATAGGAAGTTGGCCCTGTTGGGTTATAGGGAAAGTCTTTAGGATTTAGGAAGAAAAACTAAGTCTCTAGAACCTTCTTCCCTTTGAAGAGCTGGGAAAGCAGTCTTGACATCCCCTCTGTATTTGAACAAAGGTTTCCTTAACACCAAAGGTTTTTATTGTGCCTGAAAGTGAACTCTTCATTGATAGAAGGGTTTCTTTTATTTCATCTGTCAAGATTACCAAACTCCCATTGCACCATCTCCAACCAAAATACAGCATCACGAAACCATGATAAAAGTTATAGAAGCCAATTCATGAAGTGGCAAGAGATTACGGATCCTGCATTTCCTCCTCTGGGCTACCAGGAACTCAATTTCCGTAGCATTGAGTCCTTTGGAAAGAATACCCGTACATTATTTAAATGTTTTCTGAAACCTTTTCCCGTGATTCATGGCAGAGCAGTTTTGACTAGTTCATAAATTAGAACAATGGATTTTTTCTTTTTCTTTTTTTTTTTTGGAGAGGTTTTTGCTATAGGGTGCGTGTGCTCGCCAGACAGAGAGAGAGAGAGAGACAAAGAGTAAGAAATCACCCCCCAGAGGAGTCCCTTCTCCTCCATTCTCTCAGGATCTTGGGCACACACACACATGTGCCCAGTGTGAGTTTAAGCCACCGGGTCCAAGACGCGAACCACGGTCAACTACATGGGAGTCCAGCGACATAGCCATTACGCTAACTGCTGGTCCCAACAATGGATTTTTTTTAATAACAAGACAATGTACTGAAAATATTCTGTGGTTAGAATGATGAACGAACACTGCAGTCAGCTGAGGGACAGGTGACTGGCGTCTAGTCCCACCCCGCTAGGGACAGATGAGTGACTTCAGTCCAGTAATGTACCTCTTCTGATCATGCTTGTCCAATCTCTTCTGAAGGGCTGTAGTGCGAGTCAAATGAGTAGAGGTGTGTGGAAGCAATTTGAGGCTTAAAAAGGACTAAACGTCACTAAATGCGGTTGCCAAACATCGTGATGGCGTCTGAGAACAAGAGGGAGTCCATGTTGCTGATCTCTGTGTTTGCTTGCTTTTCCAGGGGACAAGGGAGACGCTTAGTCATCACTGTACTACTCTTGGTGATGCTCTTCAGAAAGAGAATGATTTCGCTCTTATAATTGATGGGAAAACCCTCAAATATGCCTTAACCTTTGGAGTACGACAGTATTTCCTCGATTTAGCTTTGTCATGCAAAGCCGTTATTTGTTGCAGGTAAGTTCTCCGGAACTTTGTCAGATTTCTATAAAGCATGACTTGACCCAAACTCTTGATTTATAAAATTCCGTGCAATTATTCTATCCAGAACATATAAGTGTTTGGTTACTTTTTGTTTTCGAGAGTGTTTTTTTGTTATAGGGCGCGTGCACTCACCAGAAAGAGAGAGACAGAGAGACAGAAAGTGAGAAATCACCCCCTGGGGGGATGGCCACACCACATTCCCTTCTCCTCCATTCTCCTCTTGGGATCTTGGGCACACACATACACACGCCCAGTGTGAGTTTAAGCCACCGGGTCCAGGACTCGAACCACAGTCGACTGCGTGGGATTCCAGCGACATAGCCATTTATTGCTTATTTATTCATTCACGCAAATTCAAGGCTTGCAAAGAATTTGTTAGCAACGTTTTTTGAAAGTGAGTCTTAAGGATCATTAGAAAGGGCTGTTCCGGGAACCAGCAGTTAGCGTAATGGCTATGTCGCTGGACTCCCACGTAGTCGACCGCGGTTCGTGTCCCGGACCCGGTGGCTTAAAACTCACGCCGGGCGCGTGTGCGTGCGTGCCCAAGATCCCGAGAGGAGAATGGAGGAGAAGGGATTGCGGCGTGACCATCCCCCCTGGGGGGTGATTTCTCGCTTTCTGTCTCTCTGTCTCTCTCTGTCTGTCTGGCGAGCGCACGCGCCCTATAGTGAAAATCTCTCAAAAAAAAAAATAATAAAAAATAAATAAAAAAAAAAAGAAAGGGCTGTTCCAAATTGACATCAGTAGGTTTCTTGTCTTCGGGTGTGTTTAAAATCCTTCAAATTCATCTGCATCTCCATCTGGGATTATTTCTGTAAGGGTTCTGTTGTCTACGATTTAATCTTTGATCCCAGGGTGATATCGTACTTAGACAACCAGGCTTTGAACCCCAGTTCCACTGTCTGGATCTGTGTGCACGTACACAGAATCCTGAAGAGATGGAAAGTTGGAAGAAGGGGGATTGCAGTGCGACTGGGCCCCATTGTGGAATACGCTGTCTCTCTCTCTCTCTCTTTCTCTCTCTGTTTATTCACTAATACATCCTTTGCCATTTAGAACAAAATCTTTGATCCTACTGCTAGGATTTACCAGGGGGACGGGGGTGGAATGATGCGAGATGCAAACTGAATCATTTTCCGAATCGCTGGGCCGTGTTGCTGAGGGCCGTTTCTTGACTGTGCCATCTCCTGCCTTGCAATGTGTAATACTGTCTGTCTCCTAAATTAAATCTGTTTTGAGTTATCAAGAAGCAATTCATTGAGCTGCATTTTTGTAAATGCTTCACTCCAGCACTTCCCAAGTTTCTTCTCAGGGGATCTTCCCCATCTTTGTCTAAATTGTTTAAATTATGTCTTCCTGAGACCTAAAGTATATTCATGACAGTGCCCATCTCCTCCCCATCTCCTCCTTTCTGATCACAGGAAACCTTAGGATTTCCTCTGTTATCTTCTTACTGAATCATACCAGCTGGTCAGACGAGGTCCAGAGTAGCAGTTTTCTCACATGTCTTTCTCTTCCTGGGAGACCAAATGTTAGTGAGCTTCTGAAGAATGTCTCAGAACATGGGGTTTTATTGTGATCTTTAAAATTGTTCTATTTCCGGGAACCAGCAGTTAGCGTAATGGCTGTGTCGCTGGACTCCCATGTAGTCGACCACGGTTCGCGTCCCGGACCCGGTGGCTTAAAACTCATGCCAGGCACGTGTGTGTGCGTGCCCAAGATCCCAAGAGGAGAATGGAAGAGAAGGGATTGCTGTGTGACCATCCCCCTTGGGGAGTGATTTCTCACTTTCTATCTCTCTGTCTCTCTCTGTCTGTCTGGCGAGCGTACGTGCCCTATAGCAAAAAAAAAACTCCAAAAAAAAATAATAACTGTTCTATTTCTTTTCATTGTTTTCCTTCAAAATAAATTTCTTGGGACTGGCAGGTAGCACAGTGGTTGAGGTGCTGGACTCTCGCATGGCCAGCCATGATTCAAGTCCTGGACCTTGCAGCTTTCTCTCTCCCTCTCTCTCTCTCTCTCTCTCTCTCTCTCTGGCTCTCTCTGCTGAGCACATGTGCCCTGTAACAAACTAATAGGAATAATAATAAATAAAGATAAATAAATAGTTCTTTAAAAAGTATTGGGTTGTCAGAAAAGTCTTGACATATTTTTCTATACAAAAAATATGTGTGTGTCTATATGTATATAAATGTATATATGTATGTAAATATATAAATGTATATAAACATATATATACATTTATATATGTATGTAAATACACACTCACTTTATTTACTTGTTTATTTACTTATTTATTTATTTATTTCCTGGCCCAGCTTCATGGCCATGGTTAAGACACCAAGATCCTACATGACCAACTGCATGATTCGAGACCCAAACCCAGTGGCTTAAGAACCATGCCAGACACATGTATGTGTGTGCCCAAGATCCATACACGGGGGGAGGAAATGGAAGTGAAGGGATCACGGCATGCCCATTCCTCATGGAGGCGTGCTTTCTCTCCTTCCCCCATCTCTGTTCATCTCTCTCTGGCAAGCACACGTGTCCTCTAACACAAAAACGAAAAAGTGTGTGTGTGTGTGTGTGTACTTCCTAATAAAAGAAGTTGTGCTACTGAAAGCTTTTTTGTTCTTTCTTGGTCTGGGCTTGTTCACTTAAATGGCGTGTGTATGATATTGTCTCAGAACGTAAAAGCCATATTCCTTCTAGATATGTTCCAACTTTCGAAGGAAATAAACATTCTGAAATGTAATTTAAGCCATAATCAATATGTTTTATAAGCATCACTTCAGCCTCTAAAATTATACCATACTCATAGAATTAAGAATGGCTACTTATTCCCAGGAATCTAACCATCGTAGTCATACAATTTCTTTTTCCTTCTCTGTAGCGTATATTAATAAATAATATTGCTGTGAGGCTCTTGGACAATATAGTGCACAGATGTTTAATATTAGTCATAATCAGCTTCTTTTGCCTGATTGTGAAGAAAGAGCTGGAAATGTTGACTCTGATTTGTACTTCGGTATCTTCCTGCTTCTTGGTTTTTTGGAGAGGTGTTTACTATAGGGCGCGTGCGCTCACCAGAAAGAGAGAGAGAGCAAGCAAGAAATCGCCCCCCCCCCGCCAGGAGGGATGGCCACACCGCAATCCCTTCTCCTCCATTCTCCTCTCGGGATCTTGGGCGGGCATGCACACATGCCCGACTTGAGTTTAAACCACTGGGTCTGGGATTCGAACCACAGTTGACTACGTGGGAGTCCAGCAACATAGCCATTACACCAACTGCTGGTCCCTCTCCCTGCTTTTAAAAATGTGTTCTTGCCGTGACTTTTCTTGGTTCTTTGCTTATGTCTTGACAAAGGCTTATTGATGGTCAGCCCTGACACTCTCCCCCCGGGATAATTAGGGACTAGCTTTGGCCTTTTAATCACTTGCACTGAGAGGGCAGCAAGAATCAGCAAAAGGTTGGTGAACGGCACATAAGCATGAGGGCTGCTGGCCTATTGAGAGACGGGGAACCAGCTTGCTGGCGTCAGCATCTGCTCTGCACCCACTGTGTGCCACCCAGTGCTGCAGAGGGGTCACTGAGCTACCTGCCATCCTTCCTGGCTCCTCTCTCTGGGCTAAGTAGAATCCGTTTCGTTGGAAAGACGTGGGAGGCCCACTTGCGCAATGCAGTCCTTGCAGCTGAGCCTCATTCTTAGCGCGTTGCTTCACACAGCAGCTCCCACCCTCCTTCAGAAAATTGAACCACACATTAAACAATAGCAGAGGGAGAGGAAAACTAGAAAGCAGCGTCAGGGGAGAAGAAGTATGTTCTGTGCTTGTGAAATGCCCTCCTGAGATCTTCATTCTTGGAGGCTCACATGTCACGTGGACTTCAGGGCTCCCCCGGGCCCGGGCTCCCAGGGAGGGAGCCACACTCGGCCATGCACGTGCAGCCCAGCTCTGAAATGGAGCTTGTGATGATGTGTGTGGCCCTCCCCCCCTCCCTTCTGTTTTATGCATGTTTCAGTGCCCAGAAAGTCCCTATGCAGACAGAGTTTTAGGGCTCTTTTTTTTTTTTTAAGTAAAATATGTTTCCTCTGCTTTTTTCCCCCCCCCCCCTTCTCCATAAGCTTTTCCCCCCCCCCCCTTTCTAATTACCTTCCCACTCTCTTTTCCCATAAGATCTGTGGTTCGGCTTCCGGCCTGGCTTTAAGAATCGGCCTAAGCTTATAATGGCATCACAATGCCACTGCTGGGCTTAGGTCTGTGCACCTTCTTGGCCTGGTGCCACTCGGCGTTTGATCTATGGGCACGGGCCACCTTCTGGTCATTGCCCTTTCTGACCCCGAAATATGACGGCCGTGATTCCACTTCTGTGACCGGAGAGGAATAGGTGGGCCATTCTGCGTGTCATTCTCTGCATTTAAAGCCAAGCGTCACTCCTGTTTCCCAGATGGACACCACCTCCCGGCCTCAGGAAATTCTCTTTTTCACTCCATGATAAGATAGGCAGTCCAGATAAATAGGGAATATGATTTCAAAACACAGGGCAGTACTGTCTCCCAGGTTCGTGTGTGTTCATGCTGGCTTGGGGGTGTCTCCCGGAGTGTATGCTGTTTTCCGATCTGCTGCTTGTCAGTCACACACCAAGACAGTGCAGAATCCGCTCGCTCTGCCCTCTCTTCGGCAGCCGTAGACAGGGTGGAGGTGGGGAAGCTATTCCTAGGGGATCATGAGGCTGTCAGTCCCCCCTTCAGGACTGTGACAGCTCTCTTCCCTGAGCTTATCAGCAAAAAGAGCAGAAAAGGAATCTTTTTTTTTTTTTTTTTGGAGAGATTTTTCACTATAGGGCGCGTGTGCTCGCCAGACAGACAGAGAGAGACATTAGAGACAGAAAGCGAGAAATCACCCCCCAGGGGGGATGGTCACGCCGCAATCCCTTCTCCTCCATTCTCCTCTTGGGATCTTGGGCACGCACG